TTCCTGCTGCAGGCACCTAAGTAGGCCAGGTCGGAAACACTGAGCAATACCCAGTGACTCAGAACCCGCCTGGAGCGGAGCCGCTCCGGTCACGACTCCAATCGTGCTCTCCCACGAGGTGCTGTCCCTGTCCCTCAGCGCCAGTCTCTGGCAGCGCAGGTTTCACACCAGTCTCTGTATTACCACTAGGAGCTTGTCGTCAGCACGGGGACGGCTCCTGCCTTCGCCTCCTGACATCCTGCTCAAGGTACGACGGCTCCTCGAAAGGCGAGTTAGCCGCACAACAGAACGTCTCCCGGCAAAACTCTGTCGAGACGCCTCGCGCCGGGCGCCGCGCCTAGGGAACCAACCCGCCCAGCCTGCCTCCGCAGAAACCCCAAGTCAGCAGCCACTTCTGGAGCCGGCGGAACGCCCCACACTGCACAGACCCGACTGTGTTTGAACCCTCTGACGTACAGCCCCGTGGGGCTTGGCACACAGGGATTTCCTGGTGATCCCCAGCACAAACGGGGTTCAAGCATCCCGGAGCAAACTGGAGCGAGCATGGTCCACCTCCGGCAGCCCGGCCGCGTCGGGTGACACTGGCTCGGCGTGGCACAAAGGCTTTTTCCCTCCCCCCCCACCCCAGCCACAGACACAAGACAGCTACAGTTTGCAGCAGGGGGATAATTAAAATCTCTATCCATGGGCTGAATGTTTGAAAAACCCCACTGGGCTGCCGGAAGGAAGGCTGCAGCTGTCCGGAGTCAACGGAGCAATGCCCATTTGCACTCTCCGAAGAGTCAGCCGCCAAAGCTTAGAATGCCTGACAGCGGATTTGTGATAGAAATGTAGCCGTGTTAGTCTGGTGTAGCTGAAACAAAATACAGGACTATGTAGTCTTTAAAGTGCTACATAGTCCTGTATTTTGCAACAGCGGATTTGATACAGCTCCCAAGCCCACAGCTAAACCAGACAGGCCCGGACGCCGCAGTCTCTGTTTGCAAGGAGCGTTTCCGCAGGCAGGTGGGTCCCTGTGACACTAATTCAACGGTGCGTTAGCTGGGATGAGGTACCGCCAACTGAGGCAGATTATTCTCGCCAGGCGCGTGTTGGGCTCCCGGAGCCGACAGCCCATCAGCTCCTGAAGCCAGGGGCACATCTGTGTGCTCCACTCGGCAGCTCGGCCCGGGGGGTGGGTAGCGGTTCTGATGGGCTGGCTTTGCACCTCACACTCCTGGGTGGGGGAGCAGACGCCCTACAGAGGCTGAACCTCCGACCGCACCCTCACGTGGGGAGACGAGTCTCTCCAGGGGCACGAGCGTGTGCAATTCTGGCCACCAACTGCCCATTGTGTAATGGGAACGACAGCCAGTCAGTCAGCGATCTGAGGAGCCTTCTGTCCCAGGGATGCAAAAGCTTATTGGTTCATGCTTCAGACTACAGGCATTTCCCCGCCTCTCTTGCCAGTACACTTGTTAGCAGACTGGCCAGCAGCCGGGCTCAGTCCCACCTTGCACCGGGTTCAAGACCTACCCCTGCTGTGGGCCTGCATTCCACGTGTGTTACATGGTGGTCCCAGTGCCCTGGGTGAGAGAGATGTGCCTGTAACTCCCTGCTGTGCTCATGCCAGGTCCGGGAGCTCAGCCCCCCAGACAGCTGCCTGGTGGGGGAGGGGACAAACACAAGCCAGTTGACAGGGGCTGGTTCAATTCCCAGTCAGGGAAACTGTCCTCAACTTTCACATAACAGTTCCCTTGCCATTTTTCGCCTGCCTCTGATTCAGAGGCAGCAGCGCGGAGTGGCAGGGGGCTCCTCGGGAGCGGGGCCGGAGCGCACTGGCTGCGTTCCCACCCCCGGGGATTACAGAATAGTCGAGTAACTGAATCGATAAGGTTAATTGACCAATCAATGAACCGATATTTAACATCCCTGCTGTGTCCATGCGGGAATCAAGCTTCAGCCAGAGACAGCCAGGCTGGGCTGCGCTGTCGTGCGGGGAAGGCGAAAGGAACGTGCACTGGCGCCGATAACACAATGCAAAGGGATCTATTTCACAGCCCTAAACTAACGAGTTCCAGAAACCTGAACCCACGTACCCGCCGCCGAGAGAGAATCTTCTCATTGAAGGCTGCTCTTGGCGTATGATTGGCAAGGCGTGTGAACGGCTTCCTGAGCAACGAGCTCTTGTTGGGCTGGGCTGGAAATCCCGGGACATTCAATGCCCACGCGCTGATGAGCCAGTGAGCAGAGCGCTGCATGAAGATCTTGCTGCTGCCTGCTGTCCAGAGGTGAGAAAGCAAGAGGCGCGTTTCCATTCCATGGTAGCCCACGTTCCAGAAGCTGCCGAGCGTCTCTTGTGGGAGAGCCACGTCCCACCCGGCAGGAGCTAATCCTGCACAGCCAGGAGACTCGGCTGCTTTTCAGGGCGCTCCATTTTGAACGTGATGGTGAAACCAAATGGAATATCCATTGATTATTCTATCATATCCAATATGATTCTAGGTTGTATCAACAGGTGTGTTGTAAGCAAAACTCGTGAAGTCATTCTGCCGCTCTACTCTGCACTAGTTAGGCCTCAGCTGCAGTACTGCGTCCAGTTCTGGGCGCCACATTTCAAGAAAGATGTGGAGAAATTGGAAAGGGTCCAGAGAAGATCGACAAGAATGATTAAAGGTTTAGAGAACATGACCTATGAAGCCAGGCTTCATGAACTGGGCTTGTTTAGTTTGGAAAAAAGAAGATTAAGGGGGGACATGAGAGCGGTTTTCAAATATCTAAAAGGGTGTCACAAGGAGGAAGGAGAAAATTTGTTCCTCTTGGTTTCTGAGGACAGGACAAGGAGTAATGGGCTTAAAGTGCAGCAGGGGAGGTTTAGATTGGACATTAGGAAAAAATTCCTAACTGTCAGGGTGGTCAAATATTGGAATAAATTGCCAAGGGAGGTGGTGGAATCTCCCTCTCTGGAGATATTTAAGAACAGGTTAGATAGACATCTGTCAGGGATGGTGTAGACGGAGCTTGGTCCTGCCTTGAGGGCAGGGGGCTGGACTCGATGCCCTCTTGAGGTCCCTTCCAGTCCTATTATTCTATGATTCTATCCCAGAATGGCCAGTTGATGGTGACGTCCGGCTGGGCTGCAAGGAGTCCCTACAATTGCCTTGCGGGGGAGATGGGCCCTCGGGCGCTTTGCTCCCCGTCAGAAGGGGCCGGCATGGAAGCCCAAAGTGGCTCCTTGCACCTGTTTGCCTGGGAAAGCTTTTGCTTCGTCTCTTCAGGTTACACGGGCCTGGCAGGGTCGTAACACGGCAGCTCTTACGTTCAGGCTCCTGCAAACCTACCAACAGGCTCTCTCCACAGCAGCTTAAAAGTCGTCTGGAATCCACACGCGCCCCTCCACCTTGGAAGTGATGCATCCCCCCTTCTACGCCCAGGAGCCGAGACACAACCGGTGGCAAAAGCTGGACGTGGGGAAAGCCATGGCGTGGCGCCGGCAACCTGCGCTAGTTACAGGTCTGAACCGCACGCGATGCGGCGCCCATCTCCAGTATCAGGAAGGCCGAGACAAGGGCCTTCCCCCTCCCAGGACAACTATCCGCACCGCCGCAGACGCCATGGCCCCCGCACCTTGTCCAGTGGCAAGCAAGAGCCCCTCTGTCCACCAAGCCAGGCCACGAGCCTGCTTTCACGTGGGCAAGCAGTAACATCTCTGGACCTTTTCCAAGCAATGAGCCTACAACCCAGGCCAGGCGCTTACCCTGCCCGCGCCTGCGCTCCACCCTGGGAGGCAGCTGGGATTAGGATGTCATCTGCTTCGGCAGCTCCCCAGGATTAGGGGCAGGCCCGTTTCCCGTCCCCTCATAACACACCCATCCCCGTGGTCCCTGCAGCTGAACATGTACGGACGTCTACCACCGAAATCAAGTGCATCCCGGGCACGCAGCTCCCCACACCAGGGCACAGAAACGAGGCCCCCCCGCCGGGATGATACAGCCCAGGCGTGTCGTTATCGGGCCACCGTCTCACAGGACGCCACCGCTCCTCTGCCCGGGGATCGCTGAGTGCCCGTGTTGCCATGGCTAAGCCGCCGGAGAACCAGGTGTGCGCTGCTGTCAGAGACCCCGCAGACTCCTAGCCACTGGATGCACTTGGCATTGGGCACGTCAGTCCCCGGGCTGCCAGGCGGTCTCTGAGACCCGTGCCCAAGAAAGCCCTTTCGGTGTGTTCTGAGATCACGGCCGTTGCTTTCCCTTCCAGGCTCCCCCCAGGGGAGAGGCGGG